CAGTAGAGACAGGGATTTGCCATGTTGGCCAGACTAGTCTCCAACTCCTGATATCAGGTGACCCACCCGCCTCGGCATCCCAAAGTGCTAGGATTACAGGCATGAGCCACCGCTCCTGGCCCTCAAAGAATAGATTTGATTTAGGCTGGGTGTGGTGGCTCATGCCTGTAGTCCCAGTATTTTGGGAGGTTGAGGTGGGCAGATTATGAGGTCAGGAGTTCAAGACCAGCCTGATCAGTATGGGGAAACCCTGTCTCTACTGAAAATAAATTAGCCATGCATGGTAGTGCACGCCTGTAATCCCAGCTACTCGGGAGGCTGAGGCAACAGAATCGCATGAACCTGGGAGGCGGAGGTTGCAGTGAGATCACGCCACTGCACTCCAGCCTGGGTGACAGAGCAAGACTCCGTCTCAAAAAAAAAAAAGAATAGATTTGATTTGTCCTGAAGACTTGCCAGGTAGAGCTCAGAGTAGTTGGGTGCTATCATCTCTCTGCTTGTAGTTTGCCTGAACTTCTTAATAGAAAGGGAATTACATTCTTTGGCCCTGAAACTACTCTCAGTACCACTTCTTCCCTACCTATTCAGGTAACTGTCAGAAATGAATTGCTCATCTGCCTGAGTTCTGTGTGCAGCCTAAAAATGTTCTCTCCTCTCCCATAGGTATGGTCTGTCTGGCAGTGATGTCCTGGATAATGTAGCATATGCTCGAGCGTTCAACACAGACCATCAGACCCAGCTCCTTTATCAAGCATCAGCCATGATGGTAGAATCTAGGTGTGTGCTCAGTGTAAGACACCAAATATGTTCTTCGAGTCCTTCCCTGAGTCTTGTAATGGCTATTTGGCCAGATTGATAGTAGCTTGAATTAGAAATGAGGAGGTTTAAGTTTAATTCCTGTTTTGACACTCTTGCTTTATAGTTTAGGTCAAGTACCTATTAAAAATGAAATCATAATCTACTTGAATTTGCTGGAAATCTTGTTAAACAGTGCGTCAGATGTTAGTGCTGTGCAAATATTTTAATAAAACATCTACATACAAGGAAAACTATGAATATGAGATTTTAGGGTGGTAAAGAAGGGAGCAGAATCTGACACAGGCTAGAAATAGGCTTCAGAGAATCCTTGTTTCCTGTAGGTATGCACTGCTTATTGTAGACAGTGCCACCGCCCTTTACAGAACAGACTACTCGGGTCGAGGTGAGCTTTCAGCCAGGCAGATGCACTTGGCCAGGTTTCTGCGGATGCTTCTGCGACTTGCTGATGAGGTAAGTTGTGGGATAGGGACAGAGAATGCCTACTTTCAGTGGCTGTGAATTCCAGGAACCTTGCTAGGAAGCCAAGACATCAGTGCCTGAGATCATCAAGCTCTATTAGAAAAGGAAGGAGAGAGACATTAGTCATTCGTTGCTTTGTGGGGCAAAGTGGTGGCAGTATTGAGGTTCTTGGAGTGTCTACGGCCACAAAATTGACATTTATCCTTTCCCCATCAGTTTGGTGTAGCAGTGGTAATCACTAATCAGGTGGTAGCCCAAGTGGATGGAGCAGCCATGTTTGCTGCTGATCCCAAAAAACCTATTGGAGGAAATATCATCGCCCATGCATCAACAACCAGGTAAGGTGTTGATGGGATCGATTCTTTTCAGAATGTCATGTTAACTGTGAAGTAGACATGAATATATAGTATTTTCATTTAAGCCCTGTTAAAGCTACTGTTGTATAGACACTTAGGAACTCTTGCTAATCTAATTAACATGCTCTGGTTGGTATAGATGTTTTAGTTCATAAAAGAATTAAAAACCCACAAGTGTGGAAGAATGAATATGAATAATAGAGATGCCTCTCCCTCGTTATTTAAAAAATGTTTGGGCTGGGCACTGTGGCTCACACTGATAATACCAACACTTTGGGAGGCCAAGGTGAGAGGATGACTTGAGGCCAGGAATTCGAGACTAGTCAGGGTAACAAAGTGAGGCCCCTGTCTCTACAAAAGAGGTAGCTGGTGTGGTGGCATGTGCCTGTAGTCTTAGCTACCGAGGAGACTGAGGCAGGAGGATCAGTTGAGCGTAGGAATTCGAGGCTGTGTTGAGCTATGATCACACACCACTGCACTCCAGCCTGGCAAAAGATCAAGCCAGTGTCTTGAAAGAAACTTTTTCTTTTTTTAATGTTTGTTTCAGTATGGACAATCCACTGAGAGGGGCCAGGGCAAAAATGGATTCTGCCAGGTTGGAAATGCACTAAGGAAAACAGTACAGAAATATTCCCAGGGTCCTTCTAGGAAGAATACATGTCTAAAAAATTTTCAGCTCTGTTATAAAGTCAGGATGGAATTGTTTAATTATAACAAATTGGTGCTTTGGTCTGTGTCTTTGGGTCAGATTGTACCTGAGGAAAGGAAGAGGGGAAACCAGAATCTGCAAAATCTACGACTCTCCCTGTCTTCCTGAAGCTGAAGCTATGTTTGCCATCAATGCAGATGGAGTGGGAGATGCCAAAGACTGAATCATTGGGTTTTTCTCTGTTAAAAACCTTAAGTGCTGCAGCCTAATGAGAGTATACTGCTCCCTGGGGTTCTCTACAGGCCTCTTCCTGTTGTGACTACCAGGAAAAGGCTTCCGGGAAAACAGCTATTGTATCAGTTTTTCTGATGGTGTAAACAGGAGACAGGTCAGTAATCACAAACTAATCTAAAATGTTTATTCCTTCTGTAGTGTATTAATCTCTGTGTGTTTTCTTTGGTTTTGGAGGAGGGGTATGAAGTATCTTTGACATGGTGCCTTGGGAATGACTTGGGTTTAACAAGCTGTGTACTGGATAATCTTAGTTTCCAAGAGAACTAAAGCTGGAGAGACGTGACCCTTCTCTCACTTCTGAATTAATGGTAAAATAAAATGCCTGAGCTATGTAGCAAAGGGAATGGGTCTCTGCACAGATTCTTTTTTTCTGTCAGTAAAACTCTCAAGCAGGTTTTTAAGTTGTCTATCTGAATGATCTTGTGTAAGGTTTTGGTTATGGAGTCTTGTGCCAAACCTACTGGGCCATTAGCCCTTCACCGTCTGCCTGCTTGGTCTTTTATTGCTAAGACTAACTCAAGATAATTCTAGAGTCTTAAGCATTTCAGGCCAGGTGTGGTGTCTTGTGCCTGTAATCCCAACATTTTGGGAGGCCGAGGTGGTGGATCGCTTGAGCCCAGGAGTTTTAAGTCCAGCCTGGCCAACATGGCGAAACCCCATCACTACAAAAATGCCAAACTTAGCTGGACATGCTGTGGCCCGTGCCTATAGTCCCAGCTACTTGATAGCCTGAGGTGGGAGGATCACTTAAGCCTGGAAGGTGGAGGTTGCAGTGAGTTGAGATTGTACCACTGTACTCCAGCCTGGGCGACAGAATGAGACCATGTTTCAAACAAAAAAGAAAGCAATCATTTCAGAGGCTAAGTAAACAGATTTGATTGTGAGGCTTCTAATAAAGTAGTTATTAGTAGTGAATGTGCTGTTTATAGCAGTTATTCTAGTGCAAGCTATTTCAAGACAGGGTTTCCGTAATCTTTTTGGCTCTGTATAGGGGTGATCAGTTTCTATTACTGTAAGATTTGAAACCAGAAAGGAAAGTCCCACTTGCAGATGATTGTGCTTGTCTTTCAACCTAATAGAAAATAAAAGACAGACATACCATGGCTTGCCTTGTGGCTTTTTTTTTTGAGACGGAGTTTCACTCTTGCTGCCTAGGCTGGAGTGCAGTGGCGCGATCTTGGCTCACCACAACCTCCGCCTCCTGGGTTCTAGCAATTCTCCAGCCTCAGCCTCCCGAGTAGCTGGGACAATAGATGCCTGCCACCACGCCCTGCTGATTTTTGTATTAGTAGTAGAGATGGGGTTTCACCATGTTGGCCAAACTGGTCTCGAACCCCTGATCTCAGTGATCTGCCCACCTTGACCTCCCAAAGTGTTGGGATTACAGGCACGAACCACCTCGCATAGCCCTGTGATGCTTTGTTTTAAAAGCAGTTCTAGTCTTTTTTTTTTTTTTTTTTTTTTTTGAGACAGAGTCTGGCTCTGTCGCCCAGGCTGGAGTGCTGTGGTGCAATCTGGACTCACTGCAAACTCTGCCTCCCAGGTTCACACCATTCTCCTGCCTCAGCTTCCCGAGTAGCTGGGACTATAGGCGTCCGCCACCACGCCCGGCTATTTTTAGTAGAGGCAGGGTTTCACCATGTTAGCCAGGATAGTCTCGATCTCCTGACTTTGTGATCCGCCCGCCTCGGCCCTCCAAAGTACTGTGGTTACAGGCGTGAGCCAC